AAATGCCCTGGGCCTACCCTACAAATTTTACAGGAATTTAAACTGTAATTGTTTTTGTTGGGCTGTTTTGACTAAACAGAACAGAGTTCTCTAATATACAGTAATACAGCAGTGCATTCAGGGCAAGTATCACTGGCTGTCTTTTGGTAAAAACAAGAAGCTTTACTTATATAATACATACTTATTTATAAAAATGTTCTAAAACAAAGGTGCCTTTAATTTTTTTCATAAAAATTTTGATTGATTTCAAACTACTATTTGCAGTCTCATGGTGAGAGGTGTTTTCTTAAGGTGTGCTGAACATGAACTTACTAAGGTCTCAAGAGAGAGTTGCTGAATTGTAGCCTTGAGGAGTAGAAGGGATCTTGGAGTGTTTTTCTACCAGTCCCTCATTTTAGAATGAGCCATTTTCAGAGAAGGTCAGTAAAACATTACATTAGATTAACAAAACTGCATTCTCTGTTCTCTTCTTCCATTGTATAATGGTTTTCAGATAAATGAGAAAAAATGTATATCAACAGAGCAATATCTATTTTTTTAATTTTATTGAATTTTTGCAAGTTTCATAAAATATATTTTTATCATATTCAGATCCCCTCCCGTCTGTGCCCCTCTTATACACCCCCATCGGTTTTCATTTACTCAGTCATTTATATTAAGACCTATCAAGCGAAGCTTGTGTCCCCAGATGTCACTGAATGTACGTCCATCCACTGGAACTTGGTTAACCTGTCAAAGGGTCACACACCCAAAGAAAACCAACTCTCCCTCTCCCAGTAGTCAGTGGTTGCCAATAATTTCTCAGCTAATGTTGGGGCTTCTCCCCCATGTCCCCACTTCTATGCTGGCCAATCTAAAATTTGAATTTGCTGAGTCTCTCTCATCTCTGTGGCTTCCTCATCAGTTTCTGTCATCCAGTTTTTCCCTCTCTTGTCGCTTGCTGCTTGATTTGTTTAGGTCCCGTTTCTTCCTTCTTAGTGCTCCACTGGCTAAACACATGACTCCCTAGTCAGAATTGCCAGGTGTGTGCAGTTCTATTCACAGCTTTGTTCACCTTGTTCTCATTTAAGTAACAACAATAGAGCCAATGGAAAAAAAAAAGGTTGCACAGCTCATGTAATGATATATACCTATGTTAACTTGATATCTCAGGAGTCTTCACTGGAATGAAATGTCCGTACTTTCATAGACGTCCCAAATATTTGTGCTGTCACTTGATGTTTAAAAAATATACTCACTACAAACATTACCAGTATTACTCCCTCCTTTGTATTATGTTTCCATGCTTTGAAATGATATACAGGGACTGGAGAAAGTTCTTTTTCAAAAACGTCATGTCTTATGATTCAAATTCTTTTAAAATGCCTCATGCCCTAAGTGTGACTTGTGTCCAGCTGAAAGGACAATGAACATAAAGCCCTGGCACAATTTGCTAGGCCCCTTTGTCACACAAATGTGACAGTCCATTATTCAAAATATAAATATCACATGTTCCCTAAAGGATACAAATATTAAGGACTTAATATTTTTTATTGAAATTTTGTGATTTTCATATAATATAATTTGATGGTATTTAGATCCCCTCCCCTATTCACACCTCTCCTTCTTGCTCCCTGCCCAACTTAATATTCTCTATTACATATATATATATATATATATATATAATATGTATATAATAAGACCTCTAGAGTCTTAATTTGTGTCCCCAAATGTCCTTCAGTATAGGTCCATCCACTGGAGCTTGGTTAACCTACAAAGGAGTCCCATGCTTGAAAGAGACTGTCTTTGCCCAAATTAATATTCCTATAAAAAGAACAAAAATGCTAAAACTAAATATGCTGCATGGGTTTTATTTCAGTTATTTTTCTTGGTCTAGTGGGTAGAGATTTCTTTTTGTTGTTTGCTTTTCTTAAACCAACATGAAGAAGACTGGTTTGAGGAATACTACATTCATATATAAGATGCAGTCAGGTCCTATTTTTTTCTGCAGAACTTAGAGATATGTTGACTCAGATTGAGTAGACTTTACTTGTCACTAAGGAAATTGGGTTCGAAATTTATGGTATACTATTTTCCTTATGAAAAATTTCTTAATATTTATACTCCATGTTTTTAAAGATCTAATTATTTATATGCTATGAAGTAATAGATAAACCAATTATCATCTCTGAGACACTTTTTTCAGGTTCTATTGATTGGTTTCTGTTAGGTTTATTTGTAGAAATTCAAAGTTTACAAGACTGGATATATATTTATCTCTTCCTTTAGCTAATTTTACTCCATCACCACAGTATCTGAAAAGTGGAATAAAGAAAGACAATTAAAAAACAAAATAGTAGCAACTGTTAAATCATTCTATTCAAAAGTAATTTATCTACACTTAGTTTGCTTGCAAATGGAATAGTTCATGTCATTATTGAAATTTATCTTTTAAAATTTTGATTTAAAATGTTATGATGGAAAATATTCACTCAAACAAAGGCTTTAATATGAATTATGGGTTAGACATCGTATTAGGTAACTGCAATTATCTAAAGTGGTAAGGATAACAAAACAGTTTCTAAAAATAAAAGGGATTTGCAGTTAAAGCTAAAAATCAACTTATCTTCAGTTCACTTCTTAATAGAAAACTCATTATTATAAGTTAGAAGCACAGTTAAATATATAGAATTGTATCTCTGCTTCCACACGTCTTCTAAAGGTAGCACATTTGTTACTGTTATCACTGCTTATCGGTGATTGACATAATTAAGTTTCCCTGAGAACAAAATTCAGTTCTAATTTTCTATAATCTCTTCCTCACCCACCCAAGCAACCATTCCCATTTTCTTAAATGAGGATATAGGTAATGCCTTATCCACAATATTATCTTCATACTTTAATATCAGAAATATTTTTGAATATACTGTTTCTTGTTTCCATTTATTTCTTTTTAAGCTGTTGCAGATACATTTTGCTCTCTTACTGAGTCATTTGCCTTTTAATCTGTTATACTTCTAGAAGTTCAAATGACCATATGTTTTGTCTGATGGGGGACTGTTGATTCATTTGTCTTAAAACTATGAAATGATAGTAATTATAAAGAAGTTTGCTGTTTCAGGACTTAAAATTTGTTTTCTTAAATCCAGGGCATCATATATTCTGATTTGTTTGTTTGCCTAGTTTTAGTGACCATGGACTAAAGAAAAAACTTAAATTGCAATGTTTAAGAAATGCCTGGTTGTTAATTCAGTGTAGTTCAAGAAGGAATTAGATTGAGATTTGGTTAGCATAGAAGGGTTTTGGACAAAGGTTCTCCCTGTTAAGTAGCTGGCAAATGCCATTAGAATTCTTAACAGAGGGTCTATTAGAATGTTTCCCATGTTCAGATCAAATAATAAAATTAGTTATTGCTCCTTTTTGAAAAATTTATAAAGGTGAAATCAAGCAGTGGTAACAGATGAGAATGACAAGTTAATGTTACTCTCAAGACAATCTTTCTATATGAAATCACTTCTAATTTGATTCAGTTCATATACATTTACTTCCAGAATATACTTTCCTAGGAAACTCTAGCCTACCTTCTTCCAAGTTGTCATTTCAACATCAAGCAAACTAAAGTTGACTGTCACCATGATGCTTTTAGGATGTCTCTCTTACTCCATGTGGGATCCTTGAGTGAAGTACAGTATTACTGAAGTTATTATTGTAATTTGCTTGACTTAAACACAGGCTCATCTAAAACTTCAAATAAACTAAAGCTTATTTTTTACTTGAGCTTGTTAATCACAATGATTGCTTAAATATGCTTCCAACTTCCCATTTCCTGTGTTAAGTTGGCCTCAAAAGAATAAGGACATACAGAAGAATTCATTCCAAAGCAATTGACATTGAGACGTTTTCACATGCATTTCTAATCTCTATATACATGACTATCGCTGGTCACAGTCGCCCACCTTCTGAGCTCCTCGGCATCTGAGCATGAATACAAACTCGTCAGATAGACAGCCTTCCTCTCCCACTAGAGGCTCAATACTCTGCCATCCCTGTCACTGTCCACTGTGTTGTCAGAACCCTCATCCATTCCCCCCTGTCTGCCCTTCTGGTAAATCTAGTCAGCCAGAGGTCCCTGTTCCAGGAGGGTCAGCTGTTCCTCATCTACGGCAATCCATTGTCAATATTCCTTTGGATAGAATTGGGGTCTGCTGTTCATTTTTCCAGTAGTATGTTGGGTTACTGTCTGGAAGAGCCTT